AACACTCACACAGGAAAAATAATACAGAACCAAATTTCAAAGTCTCCTGGAATCTACATTTTCTGGAGGCACTAAGGCTAGGAGAACCCCCAAAACTGTTGCCCCAAGATAATTTTTAAGCCTTCAACTTTACATCAAAAGTATCTCCTAAAAAAAAAAGCTATTAAGCAGAGGAGTAACAAGAAAAAACATGTAAATAAAAACTGCCTCGGGGGGAAAAAAAGTCTCTCCTGAAGCTTTCTGCAAAGCAAACAGACCAATTACATTGACCTCTCTGAGGGCAGAACCCGGATCTCAGGGCGTTGCAAACACACCGTCACCCTAACCCCAAGCTTTCCTACTGTGCAACCAAGGTTAAGAACACTAGCCCGAAGCAACGCTTCTCAAAGTGGGGTTCCAGGTCAGCAGCATCAGGAACTTACTAAAGACAAAGGTTCTTAGTCGCAGCCTACAACCTACTGAGTCAGAAGATGTGTAGGGGAGAATGACTAGTACCGTGTGCTTTACCAAGCCCTCCAGGTGGCCCTGATATATGCTCAAGCTTGAGAACTCCTGTCCTAGAGCAGGGGTTAGTAAACTTTTTCTGAAAAAGGCCCGGTAATAAATCTGTTGGGCTTTGCAAATGGTACAATCTGTAGGCACCACTCACCTCTACCAATGTAGCAACCAAGCTGTCACAGTCAAGATGTAAGTGAGGGAGCATGCTATGTTCCAGAGATGAAACTTTATAAAAACAAGCAGTGGACCAAATTGGCCACAGTTTGTCGACTCCTGCTCAAGAGCCTATGTCATCTGTCCTCCTGTCTAGTGACAGCTGATGGGGCATATTCTACAAAAACCAACTCCAGGATCCGCCTTGGCAGTCCCAACATCATTGCAGAGAAATCTTACGGCAAGGCACAGGGAAAGAACTTAACGCACTTCCCTCTCCCCTCAGCCCTATGCCAAAACCATATCAGCAGGTTAACCTCTTCTGCATCCCTCCTCCTCCACGAAGTCCTCCTGGATCCTACAGGTGGATAAAGGTTCTTCCTCTGGCCCACCTGTGGCCACCTTTCGGGTACCCACCTCTTATCCCAATAAACAGAGGGGTCAAATTTTTTTTTCAAAAGCAACAAAGAAATCAAGTGGAATACATGTGACAATGGGACAGTTTGTGTGTTTATAAACCACACACAAAGCCACTCAGTAGAGAGGCAGGCTGGGGTCTTCTGGGAGATAGTGGCATACATGCATAGCACATAGACCGATGGATGACTCATCAGTGGGGGTACATGTAGCTCTTAGAGAGATGCAGAGATTTGAACTAAACAGGGAATGAAGAGGAAGGTCTATTCTCTCAAGGTTGGAAGGTACAGGCCTAGGGAAGGGTCAAGCCCAAGGTTATCCAACCATGCAGTGAGGGGACATCAAAGCAGGATCAAACCCCTCATGTTTTGGCCTAGGCCACCCACCAAATGATCACCTGCATGTGTAAAGGGGAAGGGCCACTGTCAGGGGCATTTCTAGATGTGTGATGAGACACACACAAGTATACTAACATGAATGTACACACTACACATATGCGGAAGCATGAATTCACATGCATGCACTCACACCAACACATGCGTACACACGTATTATACCTCATAATCCTACACAATGAAAGCCTTCTGGTTTGACTTGGAGGAAGAACAGCTCTGTACTCCCTGAGCCTAAGACCACCTTGGGGTGAGCATTTCTGGCTGGGAGATGGGTCCAAGGAAGCATTGGTGGCTATTGGGGTGGGGTGGGATGGGGCACCAGCCCTCAAAAGCTAAGGGTAAATGTGCCTGGAAGGCAGCACTGGTTATCAGGGTAATCCTTGCCCATTGGGCCTGGACAGGGAAGCTGGTCAGAGCTGCTACCTTTTGTCAAAGGTCGTCCCATGCGTTGAAAAGGCCAGGCGCTTCCGCAGCTCATTCCTCTCTTGTGTCATCTGCCGCAGTTGAATGGAGAGGTTCTCCATCTTCTCATTCACTTGCTGCTCGGTGAGGAGGGGTGATGGGGATGATGCCTTCCCAGCAGTGCCTGGTGGGAGGATAAGAATGTAACTCAAATGCAGACAGCATTTTTGGGGTGCCAGGCAATGTGGGGTCATGGTCTGGGTCAGCTGCTCACAACCACTTGTGAGGTGGGTCTTGTTAGTGCCCC